ATGAGTAAAAACATCTACCAGTAGCAATCAGAAATTGTTTTCTTTCAGTTCAGTTGCACAATTGAAATCATTTGGCATAATAAAAAGTATCAATTATTTTATGATATTTTATACTAACTGCTTCAATGATACTTTTTGGAGAAGATGCTTCTTTCTGCCCCAGGTTCTTTGTTACTAGGAATGGATTTTTAAAGGAAAGAATCCTGTTTCCTTTATTGTCATTTTTAAAGATCCCACCAACTTTTATTTCATGCACATTTGCTTGTTTTAACAAGCCTACGTTCAGTTTCCTTATCAGCTGCCAGTGTCTTCCTCTTTTTAGTACAATGATTTTTCTCTCTCTTTGGATTTCAGGTTTGTGTAGAAAGGTTTTTATTTCAAGATTGGGGAATACTGGCTCCACTCTTCCAATACCCATTGTTCTACTCTCTTCAAACTGGGAAACCTTAGCTTATCCCTTCCAAATGATCACATTATCAAGTAATTCTATCTGAGAGTGCCTATACCAGGTGTTACAACAGAAGGCCTGAAATCAGGAACTCCTATTTCATTGCCGCTTTGGGGGTATGGATTAAGGTGCTATCCTACAAACCAGGACACTGTAAATTCTAGACCTGTCTCAGGCATGAAAACCATCTGACAGGGTGATTTGGGACCAGTCACTCTTTCTCAACCCAACCCATCTGACTCAGTGGTTGTTGTAGGAAAAATAAGAGGAGGAAGGGATATTAGGTATGCTCACTGCCTTGAGTTGTGTGTAAAAGTAATAAAGTACTAATTTAAAAAATTTGATAAAAAATAAATGATTGTATTGAACTACTTAGAAGCCTATATAAAAAGAGGGACTTTCTGTTTCAAATATTCTATCTCAATTGTACATGGATGGGATTAACCAAGTAGTCCTGCTTCCATTCTCAAGAGACTACAATAACAAAAGTAATTAATACTTGACTAGAAAGGACGTTGGTCTTACCTGAACGTCTATTTTCTGATGGGAGGAGGGAATGGTCACACGTGGGTTTTATCACAGC